CATTAGAGGGTGCAATACAGAGGTTGTAAGAACTGGCTACAGATTGCAACATACGCTGAAATGTCCCCCTGAAAGACAATCAGTGAAACTTTATGACTCAGAAAGAAATCAGCATACTTTTCCGTGTCAGTGGGTTATGCATTCATCAGTACATCAACAATCTAAGGAACTCGTGACAAGGTTCTTTACCCAGGGAAAAGATGTTGCCATGTATCACAAGACCCTCCCAAGGAAGGTTAATTTGGCTGCCTGTGTATTTTGTTTTTTTTTTTTTTGGAGACAGAGCGTTATGTTACTCTATTGCCCAGGCTGGAGTGCAGTGGCGCCATCTCGGCTCACTGCAACCTCCGCCTCCTGGGTTCAGGTGATTCTCCTGCCTCAGCTTCCCAAGTAGCTGGGATTACAGGCACCTGCCTGGGATTACAGGCCACCACGCTTGGCTAATTTTTTTGGTATTTTTAGTACAGACGGGGTTTCACCACGTTGGCCAGGCTGGTCTTGAACTCTTGACCTTAGGTGATCCGCCTGCCTCAGTCTCCCAAAGTGCTGGGAATACAGGTGTGAGCCACCATGCCTGGCCTATTTTTTTTCACACCTGCCCTTTTTTTTTTTTTTTTTTGAGACGGAGTCTTGCTCTCTTGCCAGGCTGGAGTGCAGTGGTGTGGTCCTGGCTCACTGCAACCTCCGCCTCCCAGATTCAAGCGATTCTCCTGCCTCAGACTCCCGAGTAGCTGTGAATACAGGCGACTGCCACCACATCCGGCTAACTTTTGTATTTTCAGTAGAGACGGGGTTTCGCCATGTTGGCCAGGCTGGTGTCGAACTCCTGACCTCAGGTGATCCACCTGCCTTGGCCTCCCAAAGTGCTCAGATTACAGGTGTGAGCCACTGCGCCTGGCCCAAGATCTATTTTTGTATAAGCTGCCTCCTGTCCTTTCTTCAAAGAGGGCATCCACAAATAGATGACAGAAAAGAAAATAATTAAGTGCCAAACTTCTCATAGAGAGTGCAGAAGGCTAAACTTCATTCATTCAATAGATATTTATTGAGCACGTACTATGAGCTTGGCACTGTTCGAGAATAGAAGAGTGAATTAAATAGAATAGAACAGTGAATTAAACAGGTCAAAGTCTAACCCTGAGGAAGTATCTGTTAGAGGGAAAGACCAGCTCAGGAACACAAGCGAGGCATGGCTGCCCAGAGTGCATGTGTAGGTATCTTCATACTGGGGAAGACCATTTGTTGTAACCTAGCTATGTTTGTACTTAGCCTTTCAATAACCAGTGGGGAAGAAAATGTTGACTCTTAGTTGCAGCTAGGGTCATGTACTAGAAACGTAACTTCTGCTCATTCTCCTGCCCTAAACCTTGATTCTGCCTTTGACCACTCCATTTTTCCCTTTAATGCCAATTTCATGTTCTCTTTAGATGTCAACAGTGCCCTCAGGAGACAAGATGTGAGAATACTTGGCCAGATGGCATTTGTCTGTATTTTAATCAAAATGCCCCATTCTCTTTGCCAGTGTGAAGCAGCGATGTACTGTGTAGGGCAGAGACAAGAAACAGTACAGAAGCCTGCGGCAGCTTTTTACATTTGCAAGGTCAAGAAAGGTACCCAGGCTGGGCGCAGCGGCTCATGCCTGTAGTCCCAGCACTTTGGGAGGCCGAGGTGGGTGGATCATGAGGTCAGGAGTTCGAGACCAGCCTGGCCAACATGGTGAAACCCCACCTCTACTAAAGATACAAAAAATTAGCCGGGCATGGTGGCACGTGCCTGTAATACAAGCTACTTGGGAGGCTGAGGCAGGAGAATCGCTTGAACATGGGAGGTGGAGGTTGTGGTGAGCTGAGATTGCCATTGCACTCCAGCCTGGCTGACAGGGTAAGACTCCGTCTCAAAATGAATAAAATAAAATAAAATAAAGGTACCCAAAGGCTGAATTGGCTTAAATCTGTCAACCTCAGTGGCAGCACCCAGCACCATGATTGTGGGAACAAAGCCTCCCACAGTCAGCTGTGAGCAGATTCTGAGAGCCAAAGTACTGACATGTTGAGGCAAGTGGGGTTCAGGGAGAAAGTGAATGAGAGAAAGGGCCCGAACAGTGGTTTCCTATGTATCTATCTCCTCCATGGGCAGTGAGTATTTCTCCTGCATTGTCTCATCCAGGTTTTTCTTTTTTTTTTTTTTTGAGACAGTCTCGATCTGTTGCCCAGATTGGAGTGCAGTGGCCGGATCTCGGCTTACTGCAACCGCTGCCTCCAGGGTTCAAGCAATTCTCGTGCCTCAGCCTCCCAAGTAGCTGGGATTACAGGTGTGCACCATCAAGCCCGGCTAATTTTTGTATTTTTACCGCACCTGGCCTCATCCAGGTTTTTCAACCATTTAATGAAATGCTATTATCCAATGAAATGCTATTATCCTGTTTCTTACTCACTTAGCTGAACCCGATCACCAACTTTGATGAGTTTGTACCATGTGCCATGCGTGACCTCTTTTTAACTGACTCCATAGCCTTACGGGTTAGGTGTTACTACTCTTATTTTAGAGATCAATAAAGTGAAGCTTAAGAAAGATTAAGTAACCTCCTCAGGGCTACAGAGCTGGTAGGTGGTGGAGCTCAGATTCAACCCAGCCCACCTACCACCAGGATTCTGCATCTCAAGTGCTTTTCAGACATCTTAGGCACAAGGCAATCAGATGGCTGCTGTGATGAGTCATCTGAAGCTCACCTTACAATAATGTCACCTCCTTAACAGAAGGACCCTAAGGCAGCAGCCCTCAGATGAGGCAGGGAAGAGAGATCCCATTACTCACCTCCAGGGAGGCCTCTAGTAACCTGCCACTCACGAGGACTCCCTACCCATCACACGCATGTCCAGTGGAAGTTGTTTATTTATTCAGTAAACATTATTAAATGCTACTATGTGCCAGGTACTCTTCTAAGCGCATTTTTTTTTAATTGTTGTTGTTTTATTTTTTTGGAGACGGAGTCTCATTCCGTTGCCCAGGCTGGACTGCAGTGGTGCGATCTCGGCTCACTGCAACCACTGCCTTCCGGGTTCAAGCAATTCTCCTGCCTCAGCCTCCTGAGTAGCTGGGACTACAGGCACACGCCCCCATGCCTGGCTAATTTTTTGTATTTTTAGTAGAGATGGGGTTTCACCGTGTTGCTCAGGCTGGTCTCAAACTCCTGAGCTCAGGCAATCTGCCCATCTCAGCCTCCCAAACTGCTAGGATTACAGGAGTGAGCCACCACGCCTGGCCAGCACATTGTTAATATTAATGCATTCATCCTCACACCACCTGTCTGTGGTATGAGGCACTATTGTTTTCTCATTTAAATAGGGAAAATGAGGCACGGAGGTCTGAAAGCTAGAAAGCAATGCGGCTTGAAATTAGGCAGCCTGACTCCAGGGTCTGTTCTTTTAAGGATGGCCAGATGGACTTCTCAACATCCTTAGGGAAAAACTCTCTACTCATTTTCAAATATATGTATTTCCCCTAGATGGTGGCCTGTAACAGGTCAAGAAATGGCTCTTTGTCCTGGGATGAAAAGCTTCGCAAAGGAATTATTCTCCATTCCAAGATGTTGGCTGAAATGAGGCTGGTTTTGGAAGGGGTGTCTTTGGAAAATCTCTCAAATTTGACTTAAAAACCTCCCTGTAATACTGATCATGGAACCTGGTGGACGCATCCCTTCAAGAGCTACCATGCTACCCATTCTTCTCAAACTGATGTTTTAGCAGCACTTCAAATCCTTAAAGCTCTTGCCTATAATTATAGCTCCTCTATAATTCATTGATTCCATGTTTTTCACTGCCCCAAATGTGCCAAACACTGTGCTAGGACTGGGATCCAGCAGGGAAGATAGATAAGATTCCAGCTTCCATGGAGGGCTGCAGTGCAACAGGCAACTTCAGCCCCGTGTAATACAGGCTGTGAGGGGAGTACAGGGGGTGGAAGCACTGGTAGTGGAAACATGACATCTAACCTTGACAGGGTACAGGAGGCCTCCCGGGGTCTGTAAGAGCAGGTACTGCACAGCAGGAGTTCAGCAACGCCTACTGCATAGATGCCTTGGCGGCCAAGCTAGGATCTGAAGAAGGGTAGGAATTAGTGAAGTGAAGGGAGGGGCTGGGGGTGAACATGTTCTGGGGAAAGAAAAGAGACCCAGAGCTGAGAGCGCAAAATGGGATTTTTCTGCTTAGAAGGATCATTCTGCAAAGTGGAGAACAGATTTCAGGGGGCAAAGCCTGGGACAGAAGGACGATGGGAGCCCTTTACTGAGGCCCAGGTGAGAGAGGATGGGAGGAATGGATTTGGAAGGTTAACAAAAATGGATGGGAGAGGGTTAAGGAGAAGGAGGAATCAGGGATGGCTTTCAATTTTCCAGTTTAGGTTTATCTTCTACAGCGTGGGCAATTCTTTTTGTTTTCAACAAGATCACCCCGGGCGCGCAGACCTTCCCAGCCCGTGGGGCGAACGTGTGTGTACGGAATCAAGGTCTAAGGAACATCCATCCCAGCCATTGTTGTAAACGGGGAAGTCTAGAGCTCTTCAAGACAGGAGGAAGCTCTGGCCTCGTGTAGGCAAAGGTTTCGCTCGAGGCTCTACCGCCAGCGTCTCCGTTTCCGCGTCCCCCACAACCTTGCGAAAGGTAAACTCCAACGGTCGTTTCCGGATTTTACAGAGGAGCCCAGGAAGTCTGCGTGAACCCTGCCCCAGTCACTTACTCTGCCCAGTAGGTGCACATGAGGCCCAAGCCCCACGCTGTGATTCCAAGTTCGTTTGCTGGGCACGGTTAGTGAACCCTGGGAGTCCTGGACTCTCGTGAAGGCCACCATGCCCTACCTGGAGGTTGGTCAGGGTCTAACATCCTCTGGCATCCACTGGAAGGGATTGCGTTAGGATTTTTTTCTCTCGTAAAAAAGTTCCTGTCTCCCCCTAGAGCCGGGCACACGCCTCCCGAGCCAGACCACTTGTCCCAGGCACAACGTTTTTTAACTCTTCGCCTCCCCCATTCCGATCCCCCTTCCTCTCCGCCTTAGGTGGCAGGAAAATCCTTTACCTCCGACCAATCCCACCGATGCCGAGCCGCGCGCGCGCGCCAACTCGAGCTCCGTCTGTGCACGCCATTGGCCACCTCCACCTATGCGGGGTGACGGGCAGCTTCGCGGACCTATCGCCGAGGGAGGCGGAGGCCTCCAGCCCTCCCAAAGCTGCTTTGTTAGGGGCTCCCTGGTCGTCCCCCGGCCCGCCGCACCTCCGCTGCCTGCGGGAGATCTCCCCGGTCCCCGCTGTCGGAGCCTCGCAGGAAGGCATCCCCGGAGCACGCGCCACCCGCGCCCCTCCAGCCGCGCGCTCCGAGCCGGGCTGCGGCGCGGATACCCGGCGTGCGCCCGTAGTCGCTCACCAGCCCAACTCCGAACGCCCCGCTCCTGCATCCGCCGCCTCGGATTGGCTGGCCGGAGGCGGAGCGATTGTCAGGCGGCCCAATCGGAGCTCGGTTTCCCACGGGCTCCCGCTGCCCGGCCCCCGAGGCCGCCGGCGGAGGCGCCCTGACAGCTCCCATTGGCAGACAGCGAGCGGGTTCGAGCCTGGCCGGCAGAGCAGCGCCGCCGCCGTCGGGCGCGCAGCTCTGCAGCTCCGCAGCTCCGCGAACGCCTTGGCGCCCGCAGCCCCAGGGGCCCGGCGGCCCCGCATCGTGCCCGGCCCCGTCGCGGAGATCCCGGACGACCGTCGCGGGTGAGTACCGCGGGCCTGGGGGGCGCGGGCGTCCGGCCGGAGCCGCCCCGGCGGACGGCGGCGAGGATGCCCAGAGCCTCGGTGCCCGTGCCGGGCACGTTCTGACCCCCATCTCCCGCACACTGGGGCTCCCGGCGGGTCCTAGCTCCCCCCGATCGGGCTTTCCACGTATTGTTTTCGTGTTCACACACTTGGGAGGTGGGGAGATCCGGGGAGGGGAGGCAGGAGGAGGCATCCCTCGCGCGAAGGAGGGAGACGAGACAGTGCAGCCCAGGTGCCCGGCGCCGGATGGAAATGACAGCGTCCGGACGTCTGCATTCGGTCCTCTCGGCAGCAGGAGGTCAGCGCTGACCTGCGGCAGCCGCGGCACTTTGTATTTTATCGGCTGATTTTTGTCAACTTCGGGGAGGGCGTGCGTGTGCGTCCCTGTGTCTATGTTTGCGTCTTGGTCCCTGACTTAGGCACCTCCGGGCCTGGCTTTTCGGCGACGCTTCTTGGGCGCTCACCTTGGCGATCCGTGCCGCGCTCGGGGCCGGGCTCACTGGGCGGAGAGCCCGGGGGCCGGCCCACGGAGCTGGGACCCGCGACGAATCCCCGGAGGGGGGCATTTAAAGCGGAATCCTGCGGGTGTGCAGACAATGCCTCATCCGGGCGGCCGGGTCCCGGGGGCCGTGCCCTGGGTCCCCGCGCCGGATCCCGTCCCTGCCTCGCCCTCTCACCAGCTCTGCCGCTGCGATGCTGCTGCGCCGCGCCCCTCGCCACCCGGCTGGCGACCCGCGTGGGGCCCGCTTTTGTTTACAGACCTCGCCATTGGGCGAGAGCAGCGTGCCGTGCGCCCCCAGCCCCAGCGGCTGCCGCCTGCCCCCTCCGAACCTGGAGAAGTTGGTGCGCGCTGTCAGGTGACGCCCCCTCCCCCCGGCCGCGGGGCGGGATGTTGCAGGGGAAAGATGCCGTCTCGGCGCCTTCGCGCCCAACCCCCGCCGCGCACGGCGCCTCTAGGTCCCCTGCACCCGGGGGCGCCCGTGTCCCAGCCTTCGGCCCAGGCTGGCGGCCCTCGGGGCGCCGACTCGGCCACGCTCACCCGGTTCCAGTCGCATCTTCTGGTCTAGCCCCCGGGTCAGCCCAGGTTGACTCGGAGCCTGCCTTTTCCCGCGCGCTGGCAGGTCTTGAAGGACGCGCGCGAGCCCTTGGGGACACTGTGCAGTCTGTGCCCGCCTCGGTAACACCCGCGCGGCCCCGCGGGACAGCTGTGCCGCATCCCGAGCCAGAGCCGTCCGGATCGGGTTACCCATGCACGCTGACTTAGCGCATACTTTGAGTTGGAGCAGAGGTTGAGAGCCTGTGCGCTGAGGTCAAACAAACCCGGGTTCCAGTACCTGCCCGGTGTCACTCACAAGCTGGGTGATCCCGGCCGAACTACTCTATCTTCCTTCGTCTCAGTTTGCGCATCTGTAAAGTGGGGATAAGGAGTAGTCTCCAGGGGGGCGGGGCTTAAATGACCATACAGATTAATCTCATAGCACAGTGACAGCCACGTATGAAACACTGGAGTCCTGTTGATGTTATTCTGTGTTAGAGGAAATCTGTAATAGAGGATGACCCCTTGTCGCTTTCCTTTTCTGCATTCTTCACTCCCCTAACCCCGATTTCTTTTTATTATAAAAGGCATGAAGGACTGCTGTTCTCAGCTCGAACAGGACTTGTTTTACTTGGCCTTAGGTTTAATTACACTTATCTAATCGCTTACAGCCCTTTTAAAAATGTGTTTGAATTTCCATTAGGTTTTAGTTGTTTCTTCTTTCTTCTTCAAGACTCTGCTGGGACCCAGACCTGGGTTTGGAGAAGGAAAAACCCTTCCAGGTGGAAGGCAGTTGCCAGTGAACCAATGACTGCTGTGGAAAGTGATTAAGTCCAGGAAGGAGGGAGGTTTGAACAAAAAGATGTCTGGAGGCTGGGAGGGAGCACTTTCTAGGAGAGATGAAATTTAAGCTGTGCCTTGTAGCTGAAGAAGTTTGGTAAATTGCTGGTTTCCAGCATATGCTCTTTTGTATCTCAAGGTAAAAAGCCGGGCTGGGGAGGGTGGAAGCCTTTGCGTGGTAAACATCGACGTTGCTAAGTAATTATCTTTGAATAGGGGAGAAATAAAACTTAAGGAAGAGGCTGTTGACTAAGCGGGGAAGGTAGAAGAAGAGAATCAATTTCACTGAATATCTTCAAAATGTCGTGAATGTGTTTTGACTTGTTTTTCCTCCACTAGCTCTGCACTGCTACTTTTCTTTAGGCAAAAAGAGAAATCAGTTTCGTGTGGAAATAAACAAAGCATAATAATAACAGTCCATAATCAGATAAATAGTTTAAAAAGATGATCTCAGGCTTAACGACAGACTAAAATTTTATTGGAAAAAAAAAAAACTTCCTGTTTTAACACCCTTTTGCTTGTTGGAATAAATTATTGGGTCCAAAAACACATTCTTTGAATGTAGGCCCCAGGGGCCTTTGCCAGCCAAAACAAGCAAACAAACAAACATAAACTCGACTTGGAGGCTATCCAGTGGTTGGAGAAGCCCTCAGGATTGCGCTCTGTCTCTTCTGTTCCCCTGGGCCTGCCTCAGTTACCCTGAGTGCAATTTGACTCCCGTGAACCCCATATTCAGCTGTTGATGTGGAACGTGGCCAGTAGCATTATTGCTATATATCAATTAATAAATATGATAACCTATTTAAAGTTGAGCTCTCAGAAATGATTCCCATCCTTCTTGTACTTGTTCTGGGAATTCTCGCGCCCTTAGGGATGCTGAAGGCCTCTTCCCCCCCCCCCCCCCCCCCCCCCCCCCCCCGCTGTTGTGTGGGGATCAAATCAGTTGGGGGCCTAGACTTAAAAGGGAGCACGTGGTTAGGGAATCTCATTAGCTGACAATTTAACTCTACTCTAATGCTCGTCCAAAGAGCCCGGACAAAGACTTCCTCTCCTTTCCCTTTGCAGTTCTCTCTCCTTGCTCCTCTCTCCTCCCCTCCCCCTCTAAACCAGAAAGGAAAAGCGTTGGGCCCGTCTCCTTCCCGCCAGATTCCTGCAGTTCTGGTGTGCCCACTGCACCCCAGGCATTCTGGAGCCCCGAGCAGGAATTCCTTGGAAGAGTCTGCTGAGGGCCTACTAGGTGCATGTGTTGACACTTCTGCGATTTCTGCAAGGATCGTATTGTCTAAAGGAGAAACATGTTTTGTGAGACAACCTGTCATAGATGTGCAGTAGAAGCCTCTGGTTTTTCCAAATGAGAAAGGCAGGTGAGAACACAAGAGTCCCATCAAAGCCTTGCCTAGAAATCAGGGCTTCTGCCTGTTTGTCAAGGGCAGAGGAGTGGGAGGGAGCAGCCAGGAAGAGAATTCCGTTCCTCTGGGCCAGGTACAGATTCCCATGAAGGTGCTGAACACCACGGACTCAGGCTTGTGGTTAAGAAAGAACCTCGTTTTACGATCTCCAGTCATTTGGTCTTCCGTATCAAAAACACACTTTCACTGGGGATGTGTGTGTGTATATATTCTATACACACATGTATATTTACATGTACATTTTCTTTCTAAATTAAGCAAATAGGTAGAAGGTATGTTTCTAAGGGTATCTCTCTGTTTTTTTATTTTTTCCTCAATTCAGGACCCGAAAAATCAGATTAGCAGGGCTGTAGTAAACGTTTCTGTTTTTCCCAATTCTAAACTTCAGGGCTTTTCATCTCTAAATACTCCATTTTATATACGCTATAACTCCTGTGTTAAAAAAAAACAAAAAAACAAATTCTCTCTCATCATCATTGTAGGCCAAATCACTTATTAAAAAAACAAGAAAAGAGACATTCAGAAATAAAGCAGTACTCAGCAGAGAACATAGTGTTTTTTAAAATAAAACAATGCTCTAGTGTAAAAGGGTACACGATATTAATAGTTAGGTGGAGTTTTTCCCTTCCATTCCCTTCCCAACCTCTGGCACCGTCCTCCACACCCTCCAGCATAAGACCTTCCCTGTTCCTGTGGTCTCCAGGGACCTCATTAAGACATTCATACGGGCCTAGACTGTGGGCATGGGAAGCCGCAGAGATTCCTCCAGTGCTTGTGTGAGATTCTTCTAGAAGACCTTGAAGCTCTTTCCCTAGGTGAAGAGGTTCTCCCCCTGGGCTGAGGCAGAGCTGGGAGACTTTGCATCCTACCGCAGAGCCCTGGAGTGGGGTCTCAGCTCACTGAAACGATTGCAGAGATGGAGGGGGTGGGGGTACCACGCAGGCAATGATCTGAGAGCTGATCAATTGTCTGCTTTCAGAGGATGTTAAACAAAGAGTGATGATTCATCGAAGAACTCTGTGGGAGGAAGTTTCTTTCAGCTGAGCACAATCTCAGTTTCAGAATGGGCCCAGGGCCCTTTGAGGCTTAGTCCTGTCACCAAGTATTTCTTTCTATAAAGGAAGACTTGGGTGTAGTTGGAGCGGGGGCATCCTAGCCTTTTAGAACCTAGCAAAACCGAAGTATAATATGGATATTTCCTGTTTGGGACCACTTCGAATACATGAAAGAACGATGAAAGAGAGGGGGAAGTGTCTTTGGTTTTAAAAAAAAAACACCTGTATTATTTATTCCAGCTTCTGCCCCACTAGAGTATGATTTTATTAAAGAGCAAAGGATTCTTTTTTTTTTTTCTTTTTTTTTTGAGATAGAGTCTTGCTCAGTCGTCCAGGCTGGAGTGTGGTGGCACGATCTGGGCTCACTGCAAGCTCTGCCTCCCGGGTTTACGCCATTCTCCTGCCACAGCCTCCCAAGTAGCTGGGACTACAGGTGCCCGCCACCATGCCCGGCTAATTTTTTGTATTTTTAGTAGAGACGGGGTTTCACCGTGTTAGCCAGGATGGTCTCGATCTCCTGACCTTGTGATCCGCCGGTCGCGGCCTCCCAAAGTGCTGGGATTACAGGTGTGAGCCACCGCGCCCGGCCAAGAGCAAAGGATTCTAATGCAGTTGTGC